ACTGCTGAGTGGGGAAAAAATGCAATTTTCTCCTTTTGTTTTTTGAGTTGGAGTCTCACTCCGTTACCCAGGCTGGAGTGCAGTGACACACTCACAGTCACCCCAGTGTCAACCTGCTGGGCTCCGGCGATCCTTCACCTCAGTCTTCCAAGTAGCCGGAACTACAGGCGTGTGCTACCACACATGGCTCATTTTTTAAATTTATTATAGAGATGAGGTCTCACCAAGTTGCTCAGGCAGGTCTTTAAACCCGCAGACTCAGGCAATCCACCTCGGCCTCCCAAAGTGCTGGGATTACAGGCTGAGCCACTGAGCTCGGCTAGGCTGACATTTCCTAGAGCCTGTCATTTGAAAGAAAAAAGCTGACAATATTTGTTTCCCATGACAAAATATATAGAACATTTTGAACAGCACAATTAATAGGCTGACCTAATAGAATTAGATAGAAAATTACTTTCAACAATTAGAAAATAAGCATTATTTTCAAGCATATATGGAACATTTACAAAGGTTGACAACATGCCAGGTCACAGTGTTAGCCTCCCAAACGTCTAAATGCAATTAAGTCAGAAAGCAGTTTAAAAAAGATAATTAAAGGGAAAAAAACCCGGGCTCGGTGGCTCAGCCTGTAATCCCGCGCTTTGGGAGGCTGAGGTGAGTGGAATGCCTGAACCCGCGGGTTCAAGACCCGCCTGGGCAACTTGGCGATACCTCATCTCTACAATAAATCAAAAAATCAGCCGGGCATGGTAGCGCATGCCTGTAATTCCGGCTACTCAGAAGGCTGAGGTGGAAAGATCGCCAGAGCCCAGCAGGTTGAGGCTACAGTGGCTGGAGCGGCCACTGCACTCCAGTCTGGGCGACAGAGTGAGACTCCAACTCAAAAAAAAAAAAATTATATAATAATTAGATGAGAACCATAGCTAAATGTGCTACAGAGACTAAACATATAAGGGTTATAATAACGTTATGTCATTAAGTATGAAAACTTAAAGCCAGGCTCGGTGGCTCAGCCTGTAATCCCGCGCTTTGGGAGGCTGAGGTGAGTGGATTGCCTGAGCCCATGTGTTTGAGACCCGCCTGGGCAACTTGGCGAGACCTCATCTCTACAATAAAAAATAAGCCGGGCTCGGTGGCTCAGCCTGTAATCCCGCGCCTTTGGGAGGCTGAGATGAGTGGATTGCCTGAACCTGCGGGTTCGAGACCCGCCGGGCAGTGAGACCTCATCTCTACAATAAATCAAAAAATCAGCCAGGCGTGGTAGCGCATGCCTGTAATTCCGGCTACTTGGAAGGCTGAGGCGGAAGGATCACCGGAGCCCAGCAGGCGAGACTGCGGTGGCCGGGAGCGGGCACTGCACTCCAGTCTGGGCAATCGAGTGAGACTCCAACTCAAAAATAAATAAATAAATAAATAAAATAAAATAAAATATAAAATCAGCCGGGCATGGTGGCGTGTGCCTGTAATTCCAGCTCCTCGGAAGGCTGAGGCGGAAAGATCGCCGGAGCCCGGCAGGTTGAGGCTGCAGTGGCCGGGAGCAGCCACTGCACTCCAGTCTGGGCGACAGAGTGAGACTCCAACTCAAAAAAAAAAAGTATGAAAACTTAGATAAAATGAATATATTCATCAAAAAATATAATTCATCAAACTGGTTGAAGAATAAATAAAGAGTCTGAAAATTAAAGAATTTGAATCAACTTAAACTTTCCACAAAGCAAGTTCTAGGCCCCAATGGCTCCACGAGTGAATTCTTTGAGTCAGTAGAAAAATGGATAATAAATGCTACAAAGCAATGAAAGTGAACAAACTGCAACTACAAGCATCAACATGATTGATTCTCAAAACAATGTCGAGTGAAAGAAGCAGTCACTGAAGAACTTATACACTATTATTTCATTTATATACATTCAAAAATAGGCAAAATAATAAACATGTACAATAAGGATATATAAATCGATGTTAAAACTATAAAGGAAAGCAAAAGAATAATTATCATAAAACTTAGGGTAGTGTTTACATGGAAGGGGAATGCAATCTGGGAGGGATTTACTAAGGAAAGGGGATTCTAAGTTTCTGGAAATATCCTATTTCTTAGCCTGAGTGTTAGGTACACAGGTTTTTTTTCACTGTTATTCTTTTATGCTACTTCTAAGTATATACTCTAAAGAAATTCTTGCACTTACAGAAGACATTTTATGTACTCTTTTTTTTTTTTTTTTTTTTTTTTTTGAGAGGAGTCTCACTCTGTCGCCCAGACTGGAGTGCAGTGGCCACTCCCGGCCACCGCAGCTTCAACCTGCTGGGCTCCGGCGATCCTTCCGCCTCAGCCTTCCAAGTAGCCAAACTACAGGCGCGCGCTACCACACCCAGCTAATTTTTTGATTTCTTGTAGAGATGAGGTCTCGCCAAGTTGCCCAAGTGGGTCTCGAACCCACAGGCTCAGGCAATTCACTTACCTCAGCCTCCCAAGGCACGGAATTACAGGCTGAGCCACCGAGCCCGGCTATGTACTCTTTTATATGTATAATATCTTTTTGAATTTACAAAATTGTTCATTCTATGCAGATGGCAAAAAGAATGATGTAGATACATGTGTAACGACATGGGGAAGATGCTCAATGCATGTTAAGTGACAAGCATGTTGCAGAACTCTACAGGATAATTTCATTTTAATAGAAATAGTAATGTGTCCATTGTAATACATCTGAATACTATACACTAAAATGTGAACACTATTTCTGAAATGATATCCACTTCAAAATTATACATTTCTGTAGTGTTTCGAGAATTTCCAGCAACCTCATTTACTTTTGTAGTAAAAAAAATAATAATAAAGACTATTTTTAAATGTGTCAGAAACTGTTTCAAATAGAGAAATACTTATTGTGGAAAGAGGGTTTTTTCCCCCACCTATTTGCAAGCAGAAAAGAGTTTCCTGATGACCCCCAGAGTCTGTAAAAGAGAATTTGTGAGAACAGAAAGTCAAAAATGGGAAGGGTTTCTGGGCTCAGTTTCTTTTAATGGAGAGTGAATGGGGCCTGATTAGTCCCTGTGGCTCACCAGCATTTTCTTAAGCACACAGCAAAACGCTTAAGAAAACGCTTGCTCCGGGCCACTTTCCACTCCCAGCTCAGGAAGTAACTGAAGTCTTGGCCAGCAGTCCTTCAGTCCTACCCCCATTGTTCCAGGTCTCCAGCTGACTGAGCATCTGGCAATTAAGCCAAAGGCCAACAAATTCCTGACTTCCTGAGTAAGCACCTGTGAAATGAGAGAAGCCTTGGTGAGACTAGAGCAAGTGCCCAGGGCCATAGTACAATACTGCAAAGAATAGAGCAAAAAGAGTAATATGGAACAAGGAAATCCCAGGAGATATTTGGGGCCAGCCAGTGAATTGCCCTTTCTCCCTCTAGCCCCTCAAATTTACAACTGCAAGTGGCAGAGCCCCTTTGGCTCTTGCGCTTGGAGAAGCATGAAGAGAAAGGTGTTCTGTGGCCTAAAAGAGAGTTTACCTTACCAAGGGCGACCAGTTTCAGACTTCTGCATATGCTGTGTCCTCTACCTAGAACACTGCCCCTCCATATTGTCCTAGCTCTTTTTTTGTTTTTTTCAGAGTCAGGGTCTCACTGTGTTGGTCTTAAAATCATGACGCACTGGGCAACCCTTCAGATCCCCTCACACTGTGGGAGCTTTTCTGTCCTCTCAATAAATCCTGCTTTCCAAAAGAAAAAAAACCGTGGTGCCCTACAGCTCAAATATGTGGGTTCAAGTGATCCTCACACCTCAATCTCTCAAGTCACTGGGAGGACAGAAGCACAACACGGCACATGGCTAGCTGGCTAGCATCTATTCATTCTTTGGATTTCAAGTTCTGGACCACTTCCTCTTGGCAGTGGAACTCCCAATACCCGATTCCCACCACTCTACCTTCACTACTCTCCAAGAAGGGGTTAGAGGTTTCTGCTCCCATAGCCAGGCTTCTCTTACCTAGCGCTATTCTACCCTTACAGTTGCCTATTTATTTGTCTGACTTTCCCACTAGAATTTAAGCCTCCCAAAGTCAGGAACTGTGAGTGTCTTACCACTGTATCTCTAGTACCAAGATACTCCATGATAGATACTTGGAAAATATTTGGTATAGTGATAAAGACTCCCTCCACTTGTCCTTAGTGTTGTTCTCAGCAGCCCAGGGAAGGAGCCTCATGGATAAGGGAGAGGAGTACCAGGCTTTATCCTCTCTTTTTCTCCCACCTTCTTCCCTTTCCTTAGTCATCATACCCGACCCGGATCACCCCCGCCCCCCAACCTTACTCGTCACCACATCCGCCTTGGTGTGAGTTTGAGCTCCCTCTCCTGACCAGACTTCAGAACTTCAGGGACCTTTCCCCTACCCCACCCAACTCTAGGGCTTCTAAGGGACTTAAGTAAGGAGAAACAGGGCTAGTCAGCGCAAGGTT